ATCAAATCTGCGCATATGTTCAGAGCATCTATGTACCAAGTTTCATCAAAATCCAATGAGTGGTTCTTTAGATATCAGTGGAACAGTCATAGAACAGCTAAAAATTAGCTAATTGTCATGCAAATTAGGTAATTAACGAGCATGGATTTTTACCAAAACCTAATCAAATCTGCGCATTGGCCCAGAGCATCTATGCACCAAGTTTCATCAAAAACTGATGTATGGTTCTTGAGATAGCAGTGGAACAGTCGGACACACATACACACATACACACACACATACACACATACACACACATACAGACACACTAACTGCAAAGACTCCCATTTTGTGCTTCGCACATGGGAGTCAAAAATGTTTGCACTTTGACCTTATACATTCAATGCTGGTGCCATGCTGGTGTTACCTGTTTACACGCATTTTTAAACGCTAGTACAAGGCTATACATTGAATCCTAGAGCCGATTAAACTCTCACAAAATGTAATCTTCATCATATATTATCACCCAGCTAGCCTGAAAAGGTCATGTGATTGCGTCTTCCGCAGTGCTCCAAACCCAACAAAATGTACTTTTTCACTTCCCCAAAAAATTGCAGGAGCCTCAGATAGTGACAGCCATCAAAGAGTTTATTCGTTTGTTTTCATTATGTGTGACATTAAAGGTGCTGGCAAATTTCCGCCAAATGTTTATCATCTTGTTGAAAACGGTCTGTGATTTTGCCGGCAATGCAAACACAGCCTTTATTCACGGTGTTACCATGGCCACCAAAATGAAACTCATTGCAAGAAGGCAAATTCGCAGTATTGATCTTGCCGACAAGACATGCGCTATTCTGTCAGGCATTCATGAGGTCTGATACAGTTTGTTCGGCAAAAGCACTACTCACACCTACATGACAGGCTAATCAGCCACCATGCACATCACAGTTTCACATAGAAACCCTTATCAATATACACTTACTTCATCAGCCAGACATGTAAACCTTTATCAAAATATCTGTACATAAAAACAAAAACAAAAAAACTTCAACACATTCAGTCGAGAAATCAAATGCAATACAAACGTACACATTTCATATGATATGCTGTCCTGCGAACAAACAAACATAGAAAAATAATGTACTGAAGAATATCTTATTTTCAAATGAAATTTCTTTACTAAAGCAAAGATAAAATCGAATGAAAGTACGTTTTTTTTTCCTCTCATGTATGCAGTTATGACAAATCAGTAAATTTAAATTAACTTTGTGGTTTTCAGTGACAATAAATTCTAAAAAGCTAAAATGAACTATTTCACATTTCAGTGATTGGCAAAAAAATATTTCCAAGAATGTATGTGCCAGACTTGCCAACACTGAACTGTAACTAGATAATTGGTAAATATAACCAAGATTGAGAAAGAATGGACACAAATTATTCATCTGGTTATCCTGGTCACGATAAATAGTGAAAGGGCGGTAGTTGTCGCACTACACATGTGTGACATTTGTGTTGATAAATACTGATTTTCCCACGATGCAATGCACTCTTCTACCGGTACTGGAAATCAAAAGTATGAGGTTTGACCTAGGTTTGACTTGCACTAATTATCGCCAGTGACTCCTTCGATACCTTCCAATCACCTAAAAATATACCTAATTAATGCTTAGTAATGTCTTAGTTTTATTCGTTAATATGCGCAACAGCCAAAGTCGCCATCTTTGTTTATATGATACCTACATGTATATATCTCGTGCATTTGTGGCACGACTACCGCTCTTAAGCATCAGTGCACAAGTGAACTCTATACCTCGCCTTCATCATTACAGGTAAAGCAATGAACAAATAAAATTATGATCAGTATATATGATCAATTTAAATATCGGATTTCCCTTCATTAATAAACAAAAGAATCTACCTCCACATGTCCTTGAATGTATAGAGGGCGGCAACACAGGCTGGTTGCTTTGGAGAGTTTATATGGTCGAATAATGCCAGCGTATGAGGTAGCCCGTACATGACCACGTACTTGACATGGAAAAACTGAACATGAGTAAATCCAATACCAGCTGTCAATATAAGGTATAAAAATGTTGTTAGTATTAAAAAGATAATTGTATATAAATGCATCTACTTTTAGTTATCATTGCCCAGTAGAAATCTGATAGAAAAAAAAAATTTCCAAAATCTGTGTGAAACCATTTCCCAAGAATTAAATATTAACCATCAGAATTTTATTTTATTTTCCTAATAATAAGAACCCATCATGTAAAATTTGTTGACTACCGGTATATGCTAAGGAAAACAATTTTAGGACACAAATCTATTTACCATGGGAATCAAATATAACAATATTGCTAACAAAATCTCCATTTTCATTTTCATTTTTGTTGCCGAAATGTAGTTTGGTGACTATACTTTTTTTATTTTTATTTTGTCAGTAGCAGTATGAAATAATAAAATTACATTGTAACACTCAAGAAATTTACATTAAAAATTTGAGAGTCTTATTTTTTTTCTAACAGCAGGAATTTTAAAATCAAGTGGATTTGGAAAGGTGTATATGACTTTAGTTAAGGTGGTGCAATTGTATGATGTTAAGACACAAATTACTGAAAAATGGTTAATTATTCACTGGGTTTTAATTTTGCTTATTTTGCTGACTGGGAAATGCGCTAAATTGAAACCTGGTGAATATGTAAAGTTTAGCATAGAACACATTATCTAAATGGTAAAACCGTGAATTTAAAACCCACTGATTATGCCTGAAATGCTAAATCAGCGAAATTTAAACCCAGTGAAAATTAATCATTTTACAGTAGTTTAAATTGTTCACCATTTGTTGTACTCTGTGTATTCTCCATGTGCATGTATATATGTTCACATATATTTTATATTGTAACACCCCACCCACCCCTGGAATCTGCCACAAGTAAAGTTAACAACTTGTAAAAAAAAAAATATATTTCATATGGATGTGACAAACATAGATTGATTTGCTCTATCTAGGAATGTTTATTCAAGATGACTTTGTGACATTAAATTTGATTGGTTGAACTTTAATATATAGTCACATGACTAATCCAGACTTTACTTTTAATGTAAAGCAAATATCAATTTAATAGGTAATGCAAGTGCGCTTTGTGCAAACAATGAAAAACAAACACATTCATTTGTATACATCCTATATCCACTCATCTGTATTTGTACATCCATTTAAAAGAAATTTCATTACACAAATCACATACAATGTTGTGTATTTTTTTTGTGTGCAAACATGGGTATATCTTATATATTAATTCTTTCATGTATAGATAAAAACGAAATAAAAAATTATTTAAAAAAATATATACCGATATATAGATAATGCTATTATAGAGTGGGTCACGCACAGTATTATTAATTAATTAAAATCATTTTGTATTCCAAGATCTCTTTTCCAATATTACTGTAAAAGGACTAATATTCACTGGGTTTAAATTTTGCTGATTTACCATTTGGGGCATATTCAGTGGATTTTAAATTCACGGTTTTATCATTTAGACAATGTGTTCTATGCCCAATTTTACATATTCACTGGGTTTTAATTTAGCGCATTTTCCAGTCAGCGAAATAAGCAAAATTAAAACTCAGTGAATAATTAAACCTTTTACAGTATTACATTAACATTGCAACATTATTTTTATTGTATTTGTTTGTTAGCAATAGCAATGTTTGTTCAGAGGAATTGCGGCTTATATTGTCCCAATAATCGTCCGATTTTCCTGAAGCCTAACGTCCATGAACATCTCTACATACCTGTATATGAAAGTCTTAGGAAAAGCTGTATTTTACCTCAGGTAAATTAAATGATTTGATTGGACGTGCCAGGAAGCAGATTCTATCAATCAGCAGCCTAGTATCAACAACTCGTCTCATTTTCAAAATTAGAGCAATTGATTTTGCCATCTTATGTTTGACTTTGCATTAGATTATCATAGAAACTTGGTGTTCTATTCACCATGGAGCCACACCAGAGCAGGAATTCTACCAGTATGTTTGCTGTTTTCACTGTGTTTGATTTCATCAACTGTGAACACAGGTTTATAAGTGGGAATCCTACCAGTATGTTTCCTGTTCTCATTGTGTTTGATTTCATCAACAGTGAACACAGGTTTATAAGTAGGAATTCTACCAGTATGTTTGCTGTTCTCACTGTGTTTGATTTCATCAACAATGAACACAGGTTTATATGTGAGAATTCTACCAGTATGTTTGCTGTTCTCACTGTGTTTGATTTCATCAACAGTGAACACAGGTTTATAAGTGGGAATTCTACTAGTATGTTTGCTGTTCTCACTGTGTTTGATTTCATCAACAGTGAACACAGGTTTATAAGTGGGAATTCTACCAGTATGTTTGCTGTTCTCACTGTGTTTGATTTCATCAACAGTGAACACAGGTTTATAAGTGGGAATTCTACCAGTATGTTTGCTGTTCTCACTGTGTTTGATTTCATCAACAGTGAACACAGATTTATAAGTGGGAATTCTCACTGTGTTTCAAGCATAACATTGTTATATTAATCATTCTTAAAATGTACTTACCAAGAGACCATGTTGGAAGGTATTTAAATAAATACAAATTTCTGTGAAATGCGGTAAAGTACACAAAATGGAGCCCAACTTCTATAAATAATGTCCAAAACAATACCCGCAATAAATTCTTACATATCGCAATAAATTCTGTTTTGGTTAAATTGGTTGGCACTTCATTCATCTAAAAAAAAGGAAGTACCAACAAGTGAACATTAACAATTAACATAGTCCCCGTTCATTTTTTAGTGATTTTGTCAATTATAAAAAATGATAGGTGTAGATTGTTGGCCTGGTATTAAATTACAAACAATGGTAATTTCATATAGTACATTATCCAGGTATTGTTCAGTCAAAGTGGCACCTCCTACATTGTAGCAATAAGATAATTCTCATATCGTACAAAACAAATTGTATAATCCACACATAAAACACATCCAGTTTGACATTTTGAATCAAATCAAATCATCAGGCATGATGTTCCTACCAAGTTTGAAAAATTTCACTGGCACCGACATGTGTGAGACATAGATGATTATGATTAAAATAAAACAAATTGGCCACCATAGTCAATCTTTTTTAATCTGTTTCCAAATGTGAAGTGCATCAAGGTTCTATAAAGTCTAATGTATGTACAAAGTTTAAACAAAATACGCCCACACGACTGAGATCTGATTCCAAAGTAACAGAATTGCTCAATTTTTATGAATTTTTAGCACTGAAAACGTTGCCAATCAGCTTTCTTACATTGTATCAACAAAAGCATGGCGCATACATATGTACAATAATCCATAACGTATATGTGTGAAAGTGAATGTAATCACTCAAGACATGTCAGAGATATCGCCCTGTATGAACATTCATTACGAACAAAATGACCAACTACAGTCGGCCATTTTGAGCCTAATCTTCAAAATAAGCTTGAGAGCATTTCTAATTTCTGGTTCAGGTTTGGCTAATCGCCCATCCCTTCCGAAATGCTCCAAATTTGAATGTGTAGTAATAAAACATTGAACTTATCATCTGTCTATATTAAATATACAAAAAGATATTCCAAGTTTCCAACTTGTCATTATTAGATTTTATGGTTTTTGTTGTACCAGCGGTATATGCGCCGATGTGTTATTTTAGATTGTCAAATTTACTATACATACTTGGGGTCCACAAAATTGTTACCCGAACTAAAACAAAATTATTTTTTGAACTTACTTAGAGTAAAAACCCCCACCCATATGAAAGAAATTAAGTTGTTCATTCTACGTTTAACTATGTTTAATAAACTTTCGATTTTGTCGCTAACAGGACATGTTTCACACTAAATATCTTTGGTGACATTGCAGTTCAACTAAATATACATCACACCACAGTCCCTGTGTAGAGTCACTATGATCATACTTACCTGTTTATAAAATGTATCAAATGTCATGACAGGTCCACAGAAGAACAATGGATAGTAAAATATATAGACCAGATAGTCAAACAGACCCGGATGTGTGTGTTCACCATTGGATGGTAATTTACAATATTCTAATGCAAAACTAAGAAATCTCAAATACGACATTGCCAGTGTAAAAACCATTAGATAATATTCATCTTCATCCTCGTACAGATCACTCTGAAATACAGAAATAGCATGTGACTTTTACTTTTCTAATAATCTCCCCAGAATAATTTATCATGTTCTACATTATTTTATTTATAGTTTATAGGTTGCAGATGATTGTCAGTCACATTTTTCTAATCTGGATGAAACTGTTTTGAAATATTATATTTTTTTTTACAATCAATAATTGTTGTCTGTGACAATCAGTTTACTTGTGATTGGACAACCTGTGATTGGATAATCAGTGCCACATGTGATTGGTGATTCAGTGCCAGCTCTTACTGGACATTCAGTGCCACCTGTGATTGGACATTCAGTACCACCTGTACTGGACATTCACTAGCACCTGTGATTGGACATTCAGTACCACATGTGATTGGACATTCAGTGCCACATGTGATTGGACATTCACTACCACCTGTGATTGGACATTCAGTGCCACATGTGATTGGACATTCAGTGCCACATGTGATTGGACATTCAGTGCCACCTGTGATTGGACATTCACTAGCACCTGTGATTGGACATTCACTAGCACCTGTGATTGGACATTCACTAGCACCTGTGATTGGACATTCAGTGCCACATGTGATTGGACATTCAGTGCAACCTGTGATTTCCAGCAAACTTACCTGCCAAGACTTCATAGGATCATGATTAACAATCACAAGTTGGAGAAGACCGGTTATCCAGCAGAGTGATGGCATCTTTAACAGCGATACAGTGTACATAATAATGGCATTGGCCAGTATGAAACCAAATGAAAGATTTCCCAATACTAAATAGAAAGATACCAGGGAATAGGCAAGTAAAAGATGTTGGCGATACTGTAAAACAAACCAAAAAATACCAATATTACTTAAATTGATACATTATTTTCATATTACATGCTATGCAATATCTACAGAATGGTAACTATGGTAACAGCTGAATCATTCAGTCACGAAAAAATTATACAATTATACAACAGAAATCTGTCTGACCATACCTAGTCATTAAACAGCAATGAAACATTTAAAACTGATGTCATGGAAACTGTTTAATTATTCAGAACCTAGCTACGCAATAAAAGTCAGTGTTCTGCCCCCAAAAGTTACAGAACAATTAAAATGTAATTAAAAATCTGTTGTTGTTTTTTTTTAAACTTTTTTTTAAGAATTTTGGTTCTCATTAAACAGACCTCACACGGACTGGAAATATTTATGAATAATACCTGTGGTAAAAATGTTGTTGAAAACCATCCAATTACTATGTGACCAAGGATACCTAAGAAGACAGGAAGTGTAAACAAAGCATCGGTCCAGAATTTCCATTCAAAATCAGCAATATCCTTAAAAAAAATTTTTGACATCAAAAATTAGCTTTAAAAAGGCAATAAATGAAGAAGAAATTTTATTCTAATAACATTCAGCCAACAAAAAATGGAATTTCATTTACCTTCTTCCTCCCTTCAAACACCTTCCATCCATCCTCCAGGTCGTACTCGTATAAAGTATGCCATTTATCTAAAGATTAAATAGGTCAATTTAGCTAATCAGAAGGAAGGTAATAATACATTAGTGTGTCGCCTAGACACTAACGTATTATTACCTTTCTTCTGATTGGCTAAATTAGAACGGTTAACTCGTGAGCAATTTTGTATTTTTCTGTCATAAGTACAGCGGTGTACAAATTATACAAAAAAATATCTTCTCAGTTTTGACATCCCCCCCCCCCCCGATATATCCAAAGTCTTAAAAAAGCATCACAGTTAAAGGGTGGTGGTCGTCGCGTAGCACATGTTTTAAATTGTACGTAAACACACAATGTAATTCACATTTGTTGTTGACGTTGGTATGAGTCTCATATCAAACAGGATCTTCGTAGTGTGATAATTTCAGGAAAAATAACAATATTTTTTACATAAGTCGCATAGGATCCATGCAAAAACCTAAATATTTTTGTCTGAGCAAACATTTTCTTAATGTTGCCAAATGTCATTATTTTTCGCATATTTCATTGATGGATTCATTGTGTTACTTCAGACAGCTACTTTCATGAAATGAGGTCCATGTGAATTCCCTTGAATCAAACTGCAACAATTTCAAGCAGATGAATTTCTCATTCTTGGCTGATATTGCATGCAGTCTTTGTTTCATCAGCCTGTATCAGTAAATACTTAATCACAATACTCTCAGTACAATCAAGGATTTCCAGTCATATTTATAAATATTTATAAACTTCACAATTCAAATTCAAACAGAACTTTTCTAGTGGCCCACTAAATAAATTTTCCAGTGATTGGCTGGTTGGATCCAAATGCCATTGAAATTTATAAAGATGAAGGGAATGCCTTTGTTGTACTGAGAGTACCGTAAAATCTGTATTAGAAGCCGCATCCCTAATAGAAGCCGCACCCATTCTTTTTGAACAATTGAGAACCAAAATTCACAATTTGTCATATGTTTAGATGCTCTAATAGAAGCCGCATCCCCTCGGTTGAATTGTACCATTTTAATAGAAGCCGCAGCTTCTAATAGAGATTTTACAGTACTGATCAAAAACCTGTTCTGTTTTTTGTTTTTTTTATTATATACAATATATATATATAATAACTTTTTGAAATGCAGTTTACAACCCCATAGGCTATTATAACTGTTTTTTTGGCACTAGAGTGATTTACATACAAAATAACCAACCTCACCACTGGACTGATGATATTATCAAACACTTATAGAAGATTAGCCAAAAATCAGTTGTTTTGGTCTCAACATTTTTTTGCTTGTAAACGCAGGGGCAATAATAAGACACAACTCATTTTGATAGAATGGTTTCTTTTGTGTTGAGTTTGTTGTGTTTCTAGAAACATATCAATGTTGTTTTTTGGTGAATACAGAACATAATTTTGTTTCAATTGAGAATTTTGATATGCCAATGAACAAATGTTAACAATTCCGATTGAAGCATCTTCCATATAAATAGTTCGTCTTTGGTTGTAGAAATGTTGATGTCACTGTATGTAAAGATGCACACTCACAAAGTCCACAACATTCACTTCAGAGTCTTATAGTCCAGACCCAAAATTTGTGGATAATTTTTGTGCGCTGAATAAGAAAACATTCATCATTTAGGGACGCCCCTTAATAATCAGTATAATTTGATCAAAATCATATATAATTATAACAATAGAATTAAAACACTATAATTAACCAAAAATCAACAAATGATATATCAAAATAATAGGCTCGACGTGTGAATTATGGCTGAATGAATAAAATTGGGGTTCGTCTCGAGTTTTTTTAATTATTCTGATGTGAATGAAAAAAAAATTACTATTTTCCAAAAAACAAATTCCCCAGTAGTTATGAACGTTCATCTGATTTATTGAGTTACATATCAAACAGAATTATTACAGAATACAGCACTGTAATCAGAAAAAAAAAATGCAATATTTGTTGTGAAGATATATGAATTTCAGTAATTCTGCATCCTTATAAATTCTATACAAACTGAAATGAGAGATTTTTTTTAGTTGATAGAATAACATTGGGACTGACCCCACAATGATGACGTCCGCCTCTTTAATTATTTATGGGACACCCTCTTAACAAAAAAACACAGGACACACTACATCCATACAACTTGCACTTTACGCACAATACTGGATGTTATAGCAAACTACAAATTTTAACCATCAATTGTATTTTAAAATTTTTCATTGAAGCCCACGTGACCTGACACACATGTTCAAATTATTTTTTCACATGAGACATGTCATCAATGTACACTGTGTTAGTTGACTATTTGGCTGGATTAATATTAAAATTCATACATCTTTATAAAAATCAAGGAAGAGATCAGGTTTGTGGTCACATATATATATCATCTATATAATATGAGGTTATTACGAGGCTACCTCAAAGTACGCACAAAGACAGTACAGTGGGAGTATCGACCAACGCACAGCGGAGGTCGATGCGATGGCGTACTATCTGAGTGTGAACTTTAAGGTATGCTCGTAATAATCTTATTATTATACATTTTTTCCTTCTAAAGATATATCATGGGAGTGCCGAAATCCAAAAATTTTAGAACAGAATCAGCGAACTTCTTTGTGTGGAGTCCAGTCAAACCCTGGTGGCAGCCATGTTTTTTTATATTATTAGAGGATGCTTACACACGTATTCATTCCATATTTGGAATTTGCTTTTCCTTATATAGTAGAATCAAAATACCCCGTAAAATATCGCAAAATTTCGGCACACTGTAACTTATGGAATTACTGTGACAGATGTATAATAATAGTCTTTACTTACCTCTTGTTACAGTATATGCTCTATACAGTGAGTATCCTAATGCACCATACCATATACACCCATATACAAAATACTCTATTACTGTGACCAATCGGATGGCAGAACGGTTTGGCATCTTTTACTTCTTTAGGAGTAATAGTTAATCGATGCAATTCCCTACAAATAAGTTTGAAGTTAGGATATGCAGTGGGATTCTAGGCCCGTTGCCCCCAGGCATTTTGCCCCCAGGCCTCTTGACCCCCGGTCTTTTGACCCCGGCCTGTTGCCCTCCAGTCTGTTGCCCCCCGGTTCATTTGCCCCCCTGTATTTTAGAATTCTGACTGACTGTAATTGGGCAGAATATTGTGTGCGTTGGTAATATTTTGTTACAAAATTTGTGGTTAGCAAGGACTCAACTGTGTCGTTCGATGTTATTTTACTATCAGCGCATGGATCAAGAGAATAAAATAACATTGGGTGAGACTTGGTAAAATTTTTTTGGCTGAGATTGATCAAAATGTCCTACAAATATCCAACTTTTCGTTTTTGTGTGTTCTATCGGTGGTCACATAATAGGTTGACTATACCATGAATGCTATATATTAATATATTTTTGTCAAACTATGAGAACATTACATTCGGTAGCTTTTGAAAACATGTGAACTTTAAATAAACAATGGTGTGACAAAAGTTATTGACACATTTACTATTAAGTCAAATCTGTTTCTCTCACTGCTACTAATTACAATCAGTAATGGACGACTTTGACACTGGCATATCTCTTCTCTTACCGCATACTATATAAGTCAATATATGCAACCATAAATATTGTAATATGTATCATGTTTACATGCTGGAAATTCACAATTTTTATACTGTGATGTCATTCAATCAATTTTATGTTATTGTTTCTAGGTCACACCTCAAGGCGATCGTTTCTTGCAATACGACAGTGAGGATGTAAACAACCGTGTTCTCCTCTTTGCCACAGACACTGGCTTAAATGTTCTACAAAACTCAACTACCGGGTAACTGGTTTGCCGATGGTACTTTCAAAGTTGTCCGGGAATTATTTTACCAGCTATACACTATGCATGCTTTGATGGAACAATATACAGTTCCATGTTTATATGCGCTGTTACCAAACAAACAAGAAGCCACTTATACAAGACTTTTTTGCCAGATTTTCAATATAAGACAGCAACTGAATCCCACGTCCATCATGAGTGTCTTTAAATCAGCAACAATTAATGCTGCCGTCACTGTATTCCCTAATGCAACAAGGAAGGGGTGCTTTTACCATCTGTCGCAGTGCGTTTACAGAAGAGTACAGGCTGAAGGACTACAACAACAATACCAAGAAGACAATGACTTTGCGTTAGAAGTATGCATGCTTCCAGCGCTGGCTTTCGTAACAGCAGAAGTGATTGACGCATTTGAGACTTTGCAACAAGAATTATCCTATGAAGCCAATATTATAGAAGATTATTTTGAAGATACATTTATTGGACGCAATTGTGGTCGACGCCACAACTGTCATTGGCAGCAACCAAGATTCCCTATATCACTGTGGAACATGCATGAGAGAGTTGAAGCGAACCTGCCCCGTACCAATAATCACATCGAGGGTTGGCAACGGCAACGGGCTGGGGGTAAATGGCCGGGGGACAAATGGCCGGGGAGCAACGGGCCTACATCCATGCAGTGGTAATATTGTGTTTCTTGTTTCGGTTTTTGAATACTTGACACATGATAATGATTACCGGTAGATTCAACCAATCACGCTATGGTATCAACAAAGATTCACCCCCGTTCTATGGTACTCTGCATGGACAGTATGAGAGTTCCAGTGCATTTATGACAGATGATAGAACTCCTGAGACAGTAGCCATAATGGGAATGTACAACACTGATGTACATAGCAATACATCTCAACAACAATTCAACACATCAACAATTATTGTGCTACAAGATATTCATATTTGATTGGGTATCCTTTGTGGATAATTCAGTATAGGCTTCTGCTGAGGATAAAATTAACAATGGGGGCTGATACTATGCTAAACTTCTTGGCCTATTTCCATCTTGTTTATAGCCATGCACAAATGGGGGGAGAAATTTAAATAAAAATGTTTGTCTGGTTCATGTAGTAAATTAAAAATACGCTACTGTAATATTTATTTACATACACTTCATATTAAGCAATACGTTTTCCTTAAGTTTAATTTACCTTTCTGCGGGTGATGACATGTTTTAAAATGATGAATCAGAAATAGTGATTTAGTTTGAAAGCAGCAGTCCAGATTTATGATATGTCCTCATATGTGACATGACCAGTAGCTTTGCAACAAACAATTACCAGTAGACAGTACAAATGATTGTATATAAAATGAAATCCATTGGTGTGGTTTTACTGGACTATATGCTAACAATATTAATATACATATATATTTAATATGTAAATTCCAATATTCTCCAGGGTACTATTCCGGAAATAGTAGGCCACCAGTAATTCCAGATTCAGGTGCAATGTTCAGAGACTAGTACATTTGTATAGTATACTGACTAGACTAGGGCTTGATGACTTGATGATACGTGGCTGCTGAGCTAAAAATAACAGTAACGATATACATACCTTGCACCACCCCACCCCACCCCAACACTGTACAACACATACGTCTATGAGAGACAGTGAAATTACATGGTACAACAATTGTCTAAACTCAAAAATATACATAATCATAATCATGAACACATACAACTTCAACTTACAAAATTAATTTTGTTAATAAAGAGCAGGTGGCCACAAGTCTATGGATGAGCAGCTAGCGCCAATTTACCCTTAAATGGATAATCTTTAAATTGATTGAAATATGCATGTGTAGATGGCCTATTTATGTTGTGAATTATAACAGCACTTTCCTGTCTCTGATTTTAGACTTTTGCAAAAATATATTTACACTGTTTTGTTAACAAAGTAGCAATATTAATATCAGTTTACCATTGCAAACTGCTACATTTACTAAACTACTGGTATCAATACAGCTATTGTGTTTGTGAAACAGTGAGCTATATTGCAAATACTGTCGGTTAGGTTCTTTTTCGCTCACAGTAAATGTCTGACCGATACTCTGTGGTAGGTCGAGTTAATAATAAAAATTGTTGAGAAAGCATGATCGATGGTTGTTTTTCTCCTCTGTGTAATCATGGTGTACCGGAGTTTCATACGTAGATGCCTGGCTTTTCTAGTCACAAATAACGATTAATTTAGTAAGTTGAATTGTTATGTTGTGATGATATGCATATTTTATATTTTTTATGCATAAATTGTTGTACTACGTAAGTTTACTGTCGCCCATATACGTACGTGTTGTAGAGGGGCGGGAGGGGGATGGGGCGAATACCGCAACTATTATTTTCACCTCAACAGCTACGTACAAGTCGTCGAGCCCCTGTCAGCGATTTAGTTGATTTTCAAGGATTATTTTCAGCTGACAAATACGGCTTTTGTACACACTTAGAAATATTTAAAATGAATATTACGTGATCTTACCAATACTTCTTGTGTAATTTTTGAGTTCACCTGCACAAGCCCCCACCACCTTGAAGAAATCACGGAAGAAGTATTTTACTTCCGCGTTCAGCGTCAGCGTGACCGTGCCTCACAAGGAGAAAGTGGGAAGCATCTCCTGATTTCCAGGATTTCAGTCTTGCTTTGCGTCGGAGCAACACGACGTCCACAAACAACACTGTGCAGCAGATCGACAGTTCCAGCACCGTAACGAATGAACACACAATGAGGTCGCACTCGAGGTCACGTCAGACATTTGTGAAATCAAAAAAAAAAAAAAAAACAGGAATAAAAAGCACAGATTTTACACCGCCTGGTGGCGCTACTCTTTATGTTACAACAGGATAGTGGAAGATAATAATTTGTGGAAGATAATAACATATTAGGTGAGATTCAGGGTGGATTTAGAAAGGACAGACGCTGTGAAGACATATCTTTACACTCAAAGGTATTGTGTCTCAGCGAAAA